TTTTTTTTAAAAATCGTTATATTATATTAATTGTTTTTTTTGTATAATATTTTATTTAAATTAATTAAGCAATACTAAACTGTGATTATTATGAAAATAATATTTTTAGTATAATATTATTTTTTAAAAATTAATTTTTTGGTTAGAATATATAGAAAGTATCTTTTTTTAACTTGAATATAAAAATATTTAAAAATCTACTAAAATTTTAATTATTTAAATATAATTTTATAAATATTTTATTATTAGATAAAAATAAGATAATAAATTTTTGTCAAATTTTCAATTTAAATAAATAAATCAAATATTATTAATATATTGAATAATAAATATCAATCTTTTCAATGAAACTAATTATTATTAAAATAATATTTTTTTACAAATATATTTTAGTTTTTTTAAAAGTAAAAACAACTAATCTATTTATCTATATTGATCTACAAATACTAAAACTTTAAAAAATATACATTTTTTAAGAACAGTTTTCAAGAAAACTACTTAATTATTTAGAAAAATTATTATTAAATTAATATTTTTAAAAAATATACTTACAGTTATTTTTAAGTAAAAAAAACTAGTCATTTTATTTTATATTGATATACAAATATTATTAAAATTTTTTTAATTTATCTTAATATATTTAGCATATATAGCAATAATAGTTTCAATTTAAATAAAAAATATATTATAATTTTGTTGACATTCAAATTAATATTTGTTTCAATTAAAATAAATAGATTTTTTTAAAAAAATAATAAAATATTAAAAATATTATTATTTATTTTGCATACACATAAAACTAGTACTAAAACTCAAAACAAAAAGTTTTAGCTACACAATTGTAAAGTTAAAAATTAAATAATATTATTATTTATTATTATTAATAATGTTTCAATAAATTTTGTTAATCACAAAAAAACTGTAATAATTAATATATTAATATTTTTAGCTTAACAAATAAATTTTATTAAAAGTTTTAGACGCTCCTATAGTGCTGCATTGTTTTGTTTTATAAATCTGTAATATAGTTAACAATAAAAAATTTAAAAAAAAATATAATTTTTGTTTTTATATAAAATTCATATAGCTAATCATTAATGTTTGATGTTATCTAATTTATTATATATATATCAATGATGTATATATTTTTTATAAAAATAAAAAATTTTCATAATTATATATAATTAATATTAATTATTATACTTAATTAATTAATTATTATAATTATTTAACTAATTGTTATAATTATTTAACTAATTATTAAAAATATACAGTTCGATATATAATTTTTACAGTTTTTTTTAAGTAAATTATATTATTATATATTTGACAGTATTAACAATGTAAATTTAATTATAACAATTTTATAAAATTAACTTATTTTATAAAAATCTATGATAAATATTTAAGATTTTATAGAGTTGTCAATTAGTTTCTAATAATAATAATAACAAACAAATAAATAAAAACTGTAATAATTATAATTTAAGATATTAATTATAATAATAGATTTTATATAAAAAAAATATTAGTTTAGTTTAACCTCTCAATTAAATTTTTCAATTATTTTTTAATAATACTAACATTAAAAAACTGTAATAATTCTAAATCAAAATATTTAATAAAATAATAATTTGTATATAAAAAAATATTAGATTATCATAAAAGCCATTTAATTAATTCATATAAATATATTTTTATTTATATTTTTATTTATTAAATTTATTCATATTTATATATATTTGAAACAAAAAATAAGTTTTTTTTCTAATTTTCTATATATATATATTTCCAAAAATAAAAATTAATTGTATTTAATTGACAACTATGAAACAGAAAATAATTTTTTTGTTTGTAAAAATTTTAAACATACATTTTATTATTAAATAAACTAATCAAGATAAATTTATTTTTAATTATTTATTAGTATAGTATACTAATTTTTAAAAAAAATTATTTTAATAGTTTATTTGCAACAATAACAATTTAAATAAAAATTAATTATTATTATGTCGACATTTAAACTAATATTTTTTTAAAACAACTGTAAATTTAATAATAACAAATTTATTAAATAACTTATTGTAAATTTTTTTTATACCTATTAAATCTTCCAATGAGTGGCCAATTATTTTTATAATATTAATAACATTTAAAAAACTGTTATAATTATACATCAAAATATTAAATATAATTATAATTTTTTTTATAAAAAATTATTAGTCAGTTTTCATTTCATTCAATTAATTTTAAATAAAAGTTATATTGTTATATATGTTTTTTTAGAAATAAAATATTAATTTTGTTTTTATCGGTTTTATATATTTATATTTTCAAAAAAAAATTAATTGTATAACTATAAATTAGATTAAATTTTATAATAATTTAATTAAAATTTTTAATTTTTATATTAATAGTTTATTTTATCTGATAATTTTAGGTTTAAATATAAGCTTATATATAAATCAAATATTAATAAAATAATTGTATTATTTTATATTTACAATTGTTAAAAACATATTTTTGTTAAAAATATTGATTACGCCATATCTAATTAAATATTTTTTAAAAATTATTAATAAATTTTTTACAGTAAAAATAACTTATAAATAATTGTATTCTATATTTATAGCAATAATATATTCAATTTATAATTAAAAAATATTATAATTATATCGACATTCAAATTACTTCAAACTGTAATTAAATTAAAGTTTATATTTATCTATAATTATTAGTATTTTTTTTTATATTTAATAGCTTGATAGAAAATTATCGATTATTTTTTAATAAAATCTATAATAATATTATTATTATTTTTTTTATTAAAATAATAATTATTTAGTAGAAAAACAATATAAAAAATACATATATGTATTTTTTTACTTATTTTTATTTTTAAATAAATACTATAAATTATATAGTAGTAGTTATTAAATGTTTAAAAAATATATTAATTAGTTTAACAAATTATATATTACAAGACTTATAATTAAGAAAAAAACTCAGTGAAAAATATTTAATATGTTTTTCAAATGATTAGTCAATTATTTTTCCAATAATAATTTATTTTTAAAAAACTGTAAATTTATTAATAAATTAAAGTTTATTATAATATTAATTCTACTAAATTTCTATTACTCGAGCCAGAAATAATTTATTTATTTATTTATAATTTTTATATTTTAATAAATACCAGAAAATTAATTTATGTTTATCTATTAAAATCGATTTTATTATCAATAGTTTCAAAACTATTTTTTTTATAAATAATTAATATTAATATATTTTATTTAACTATAATTAAAAAAAGCATTAATTGATAAATTTAATATTGTTTCAAATAAATTTATTATATTAATAGTATAGTCCATAAGTTTATTAATAGCCTGTATGTATGTAAAACAAAAAAAAATAATATAATTAATAATTATTATTAAATGTTAATTAGTTTTTAAAAAATTTATTTCATAACTTATGATTAATTTCAGTTGAAAAATATTAAAACTTTTCATTGATTAATAAAATATTATCTAATAATACTATAACATACAAAAACTGTAATAATTTATAAGTAAAGATATTTAATATAATAATAAATTGTAAATAAAAATAATCAGGATAATCACGTTTGAAGCAATCAATTTATTTTATTATATTTAAATTTGTTTTACTAAATAAAAATAATATTTTTCTATATTTAAATTTCCAAAAAACAAATGTATTTAATTGATTACTATTGAAAATTACCTCCTAAGCACCTGTATATCAATTTTTTATTAAAAAAATAAATACAAATTTACATAAATAATTGATTTATTAGTTTATTAATTTACACACACATATATAAATAATTAATTTAATTATTATTTTTAGCTTAATAAAAACTTCAATAAATATGAAAAAGACGTACAATAAAATAAATGCTTTATTTTTTATAGAAACAATGTTAATATAATTAACATATAAAATCATAAAAATATATAATCTTAAAATTTTTTTTATTTATATAATTTAAATAAACTAATTATAACTATTTATATACCGTATAATGTGTGCGTGTTGTTTATATTAAATGCTATTATTTTGCTATAAAATTAATTAACATATTATATAACAATGATATATACAGTATATACTCTATATATGATATATATATATATATTAAATAAAAACTGTGACCTTAATACTATTTAAAATTTTTAATATTAAAATTATCAATAGTATATAAACTTAAATATGTTTTTTAAACATTATTATTAATAATTCAATTTATTAATATATATATTTTTTATATTCATTCAATTAATTTTGATGTTTAATAATAGAAAATTAATTGAACTAAAATATAAAAAATTTTATTAAATAATATAATAAATTGTTATGTAAAAAACTGTAATAATAACAGAAATAGTAATTGTATTAATAATTATTTTTTCAAAAAAAAATTTAATGAAATATCTACACTAGTATTTTTTTTATTTTTTTTAAATATTACTTATTCACTAGAAATTTGCTGTATTAATATATTAATAAAAAAAAATTATAAAATTAGTTATATTTTATTTATGTAAAAATAAAAAAAAGTTTATATAAATAATTAGAATTTAGAAAAATCTCATCAATCATTCAGAATTTATTCTATAAAACTGTAAATTTAATAATAAATTAATTTTTATTATTATATTATTTCTACTAATTTAACAATTAGAAGACAAGATATTTACCTATTAATTTATTTATATTTTTATTAGTACTATAAAATTAATTTATATTTATCTATTCAATCAATTAAATCAAATCTATTTTATTATTATTATTATTTTAAATTTATTCATATTAATACTATTCTATATTAAAAATAATATTATTAATAATAATTATTATTAAATGTTAATTAAAACAAATTAATTAGTTTAACAAATTTATTAAATAACTTACGATTAAAATGGGTGTCAGTCATTTCAATACATGTAAAACAGCTGAACAGTGCACCCAATTCACTGGGGTTTGAGTATACGGGAGAAATGCGATCGCAAACCAACCGATGCTATACTAACCCAAAAACAGCCGGCAATTATTGAATAGTAAAAACCGTCGGGTGTTAGGACTAGACCGCGGACCAGATTCTGTATGCCTTTCCCAGTGCATTACATAATAATTATTTACATATAAAAAATTAAATTATTACAAAAAAAACTAATTTATAATTGTAATAATAATAATAATTACAACTACTATTAAACATCACTATTAGTATCATTGTTTGGCATAATTGTAAAACACTGTATCCATCAGCATAATAACAGTAGGTATCAATTGTATACCTGATGCTACCAACAACAACATACAGCCCGGCCAACCAGTTTGGACAGTATGGTTGAATATTTCGTTGAATATAACACCGGCCACAATGGGTGTCAGTCATTTCAATACATGTAAAACAGCTGAACAGTGCACCCAATTCACTGGGGTTTGAGTATACGGGAGAAATGCGATCGAAAACCAACCGATGCTATACTAACCCAAAACAGCCGGCAATTATTGAATAGTAAGCTAAGTATTAAAAAGCTGTAACTAAATAAAACTTTATATTTATCTATCATTAATAGTATTTTTTTTTATTATTAATATTTTGACATAAATTATTTCTATTATTTTTTTTTAATAAAATCTATAATATAATTAATAATAAAAAATTTTAACTATAGTTTTTTTCAATTAATTGGTTAAAAATAATTATTTAAAACGGCTTATTTAAAGAATATGTTGTTTTTAATACTTTAAAAATATATTAATATTAACAATAATAAATATATAAATTTTAAATAAAAACTCTAAATTTATAGTATTTCATTAAATACTTGTAAAACGTCTAATAATAATAATAAAAATGTTTAAAAATAATAATTATTTATAAAAAATATTAGTAAGTTATAATAGATTCATATGTAAAAACTGTAATAATAATAATTGAAATAATAATATTTTAAATATTAATTTTAAAAAATACAAGTTTAGTGTAACAATACAACTTTATTAAGTTAATAATAATTTAATAATAATAACTATTATATATTTATATATTTACTTAAATTATGATTAAAATCAGTGAAAAATATTTTTGAAACTTTTCAGATGATTAGTCAATTAGTTTCTAATAATAACAAATAAAAACTGTAATAATTTTTTTAAACAAAAATATTTAATATAATAATAATTTGTAAATAAAAAAAATTAGGCAATCGGTTTAGTAGCAAGCAATTTATATAATTGTAGAAATTAATTAAAATATGTTTTTCTAAATAATATGTTTTTATTTTTTTATTATATTTATATTTCCAAAAAAACAAATATATTTAATAGACAGCAATGAATATTTCAATGATTTTTTTTTGTAATATTATGAATTATTATTATTTTTTTTTAAATTTTAACTTTAAATTAGATTAAATTTTTAAATTTTTTCTTTAAAAATTATAAATATTAAACTAATTTATTTCAACCTGAACCTGTATGTCAAGTTAATAATTATTAATAATAATATAATTAATTAATTATTTATTTTTAATACTAATTTAATAATAACTATTACTGTATATTTAAATATTTAAAATTAATGAAATAAATTATTTATTATAAAAAAACTGTAATTAAATTATACTTTATATTTATCTATAATTATTCGTATTTTTATATTTAATTGCTTGATACAAAATTAACGATAATTTTTTAATAAAATCTATAATAATAATATTATTATTTTTTATTAAAATAATAATTATTTTCTAGTAGAAAAACAATATAAAAAATACACATATAAATTTATTAATAAGTATGTACAAATTTATTAATTATAAACTATACTAATTTATTTTACTTTTTTTTAAGCAAAAATTATTGGCACTGACTGAAAAGTAGACCAGTAGACTAGCAGACTGGTAGACTCGATTATCGATTATATATCGATTTACTTATTTACCTGGTAGACCAGGTAGACTGGTAGACCAGCAGACTGGTAGACCTGGTAGACTGGTAGACCTGGTAGACTGGTAGACCTGGTAGACTGGTAGACCTGGTAGACTGGTAGACCTGGTAGACTGGTAGACCTGGTAGACTGGTAGACCTGGTAGACTGGTAGACATGGTAGACTGGTAGACCTGGTAGACTGGTAGACTGGTAGACCTGGTAGACTGGTAGACCTGGTAGACTGGTAGACCTGGTAGACTGGTAGACCTGGTAGACTGGTAGACTGGTAGACCTGGTAGACTGGTAGACCTGGTAGACTGGTAGACCTGGTAGACTGGTAGACCTGGTAGACTGGTAGACCTGGTAGACTGGTAGACCTGGTAGACTGGTAGACCTGGTAGACTGGTAGACCTGGTAGACTGGTAGACCTGGTAGACTGGTAGACCTGGTAGACTGGTAGACCTGGTAGACTGGTAGACCTGGTAGACTGGTAGACCTGGTAGACTGGTAGACCAGCAGACTGGTAGACCTGGTAGACTGGTAGACTGGTAGACTGGTAGACTGGTAGACTGGTAGACTGGTAGACCTGGTAGTAGACTGGTAGACTGGTAGAGTGGTAGTACTACTAGTAGTAGTACTACTAGTACTACTAGTAGTACTACCAGTCTACCAGTCTACCAGTCTACCAAGTCTACCAGTCTACTAGTCTTAAGTCTACCCAGTCTACCAGGTATTCTAGTCTACCAGGTCTACCAGTCTACCAGTCTACCAGTCTACCAGTCTACCAGTATACCAGGTCTACCAGTCTGCTGGTCTACCAGTCTACCAGGTATTCTAGTCTACCAGGTCTACCAGTCTACCAGTCTACCAGTCTACTAGTCTACCAGTCTACTGGTCTACTTTTCAGTCAGTGCCAAAATTATTATTAGTATTGTTGTGAAAATGTTGTGAATTGTAAATTAAATAAAAAAAACTGTAATAATTATAAAATTAATATTTTTAGTTTAATAATAATTTTCATTTAAAAAAAATTGAAATTCTTCCTGAATTACGTTTTTTTTATTTATTTGTCTAAAACTGTAATATAATTCATAATAAAAAATTTTAATTTATAATTTTTAAATTAATTGACTATAAATGCGATTTATGTAAAGTATATGTTGTTTGAATAATTTATAAAAATATTATTATTAAAAATAATATAAAAATATTTATGTTTATATTTATTTATTTTTAATTTTTCTATTAAATTAAATATTTGAGAACCTGTATGTCAAATTAATAATAATAATAATAATAATAATTATTATTATTATTATTAACTAACTATTTGTTTTTAATATTTTTATTATTAATTTAATAATAATTATTATTATATTTAAATATTTACAATTAAAGAAAAAAATTATTAAAAAAAACTGTAACTAAATTAAACTTTTTTATTAATCTATAATTAATAGTATATTTTGATTAATAGTTTGACATAAAAATTTCCGTTATTTTTTTTTGATGAAATCTATAATATAATTATGATTTTATTAATTTTAGTATTATAGTATTATAGTATTATAGTAATAATTTTCTAATAATAAATATTTAATACAAAAAATACACATTTATTTATTAATAAGTATATATATATATATATATATTAATTATAAACTATACAAATATATTATCAGTTTCTTTAGCGAAAAATTATTATTAGTATTGTTGTGAAAATGTTATGTATTGTAAATTAAATAAAAAACTGTAATAATTATAAAATTAATATTTTTATTTTAATAGTTATTTTCAAGTAATTTAAATAGGTTTATTTGTGAGGTAAGTTTTTTTATTTATTTGTATAAATCTGTAATATAATTAATAATTTTAAATTTTAAATTTTGAACTATAATTTAGTTTTTTTTGTAAAAAAATTAATTGACTATAAACAATCATTTAATGCATTTTAATAATTTAAAAACATTATTATTAAAAATAATATATAAATTTTAAATAAAAAAAACTAACCTTTAATGTATTAAAATATTTGATAATTTTTATTTTCATTAAATACTTGTAAAGTCTAAAACTAGAAAAATGTTTAAACTGATAATATTTTATTAAATTTTTCATTTTTATTATATAACATAATAAGTTCATATGTAAAAAAAATGAAATAATAATTTAAATATTAATTTTTTAAATAATAATTTTTAAAAAATAATTGTTTAGTTTAACAATACAACTTTATTTAATTAATTAATTTATGTCAAACTGTAAATTAAGCTAGTATTTTTTTAGGTTTTTTTATAAAAATTTTTATAATCAATAGTTTTAGTATGTAGTGTCAATCCTTTATTATTTTATAATTATTTTTATCTAAAATAAAAAATATAGTAAATTGTATGTTTTAAAATTAATTTTTTAATCAAAAACAAAACAATAATTTTAAAATTGTTTATTTAAATACTTAATTATTTTTTTCTAAATGTTTAAATTTTTTAAACATGAATTTTCATAATTAAATTGCATCATATTTTTCTCAACAAAAATAATTAAGATAATAATTATTTACATATAAAAAAATTAAATTATTATTATATAATAATAATTTATTACTACTATTATTACACATCATTGTATAATTATGTATAATTATAAATCTCAATATTAAATATAATAATAATTTATAAATAAATAAATATTAGTCAATATGCGAAATAATCATTCAATAAATTTTAAATGCAAATTAATTCATATATATATGTTTTTTGATATTAAAAAATTAATTGTATTTAATTGACAACTATATAAATCTCTTATAAAACTTTTTTATGAAACTATAAAAAAAATTTTTTTTAATTGTTATTACATATTTATATAACTTATTTATATTTATGTTAATTAAATTATAATAATCAATTTTCAAAAATCTAAGTTTTTCTTAAATTAGTCTAATAATAATAAATAAAAACTGTAATAATTTTAAAATAAAATTATTTAATGTAATAATAATATGTAAATTTAAAAAAATTAGCCAGTCGATTTTGTATCAAGCAATTTATTTTAAATATAAATTAATTAAAATTTGTTTTACTAAATAAAAATTATATTTTTTTTCTAGTTTTTTATATTTATATTTCAATAACCAAATGTATTTAATTGACAACTATGAAAATGTTCATAAAATTTTGTTTATGTGATTATAAAAATTAATATTAGTTTAATTATTTAAACAATTCTATTAAAGTCTATAGTTATGTAGTTTATGTTAAACTGTAAATAAAGTCATTAACTTTTTTTTAGTTTTTTTTTATTAATTTTATAAACATTAATTTTAGACTAAATCGTAACGCAAATGTTTAAAATATATGCTAATTAAAATATAATAATTAGTTTTTATTACATAACTTATAATTATAATCAGTGAAAAATATTTATTTATATTTTCAAATAATTATTCAATTATTTTATCAATTAATAGTAAGAAAATAAAAACTGTAAAAATTTTTAAATCAAAATATTTAATATAATAATAATTTGTAAATAAGTTTAATTATTTAAATAATTCTATTAAAGTCTATAGTTATTAAGTTATTTAGTTTATGTCAAACTGTAAATTTAGCAATATCATTTTTTTAAGGATTTTATATAAATTTTATAAATTATAAATTTTAGGTTAATCCAAAATTTATTATTTTTATCTAATCAGAAATATATTTAATCAAAAAAAAAAAAACAAAACAAAACAATAGTTTTGGTATTTTTACTTAAATAGTTTTTTTATTGTTTAAATTTATTATTATTAATAATTTTCATAATTAAACTGGGCACATATTTTTTTGTCAACAATAAATAAATAAATTGCATAATAATTATTTACATATAAAAAAAATTATTACTACTACTAAACATTATTTTTAATTTGAAATAATAATAATTACTACTATTACTAAACATCATTATTGTTATCATTGTTGGGCATAATTGTAAAACACTGTATCCATAGCATAATAACAATAGGTATCAATTGTATACCTGCAGCTACCAGTAACATACAACCCGGCCAACCAGTTTGGACAGTATGTTTGAATATTTCGTTGAATATAACACCGGCCACTATGGGTGTCAGTCCTTCAATACATGTAAAACAGCTGAACAGTGCACCCAATTCACGGGGTTTGAGTATACGTGAGAAATGCGATCGCAAACCAACCGATGCTATACTACCCAAACAGCCGGCAATTATTGAATAGTAAAAGCCGTCCGGAGTTAGGACTAGACCGCGGACCAGATTCTGGATGCCATACGATGCCATTCCCAGTGCCGATACTGTAGTATCTTTGAGTTTGAGCACCTGTATGTCAAGTTAAACAAAATAATTATAATAATAATAAATTATATATTTAAAAAATCATTTTTAATTAATAGTAACTGTAACTAAATTAAATTTTATATTTAATATTTAATTAATAGTTTATTTTATTTGATTAAAAGTTTTTCATAAAAATTATTAAAGTATCAAAGTTTATCAAAAATATCCATTATTTTTTTAATTAAATCTATAATAAAATTATAAATATAAATATTTTTATATTAATTTAATATAACTATTATATTTAAATATTTACAACTAAAGAAAAAATTATTTAGTATAAAAAAACTGTAACTAAATTAAACTTTTTTATTTATCTATAATTAATTGTATATTTCTTTGATTAATAGTTAGTTATAATAATTTTTAATAAAATCTATAATATAATTTTCTCGTAAAAAAATATTTAGTAGAAAAATATTAAAACACACATAAGTTTAATAATAATAACTATTATATTTAATTATTTATTATTAAAAAAAAATATTATTTATTAGAAAAAAACTGTAACTAAACTTTTTTTATTTATCTATAATTATTAGTATATTTTTTGATTATTAGTTAGTTATAATAATTTCATTAATTTTTTATAAAATCATTAATATAAATATGAATTTATTTTATTACAATAGTAATAATTTACTAGTAATAAATATTTAGTAGTAAAATAATAATAATAATAATAATAATACACATAAATTTGATTAATAATTATATATTGTTTATAATGTATATTAATAATATATTACTATTTAAATAATAGTTTATTTTTCTAAATAAAATAATTATTAGTCTAATTATAGAACAACAAAAAAATATTTATCTTATATTTTTTAATATATATATATATATAAAAGTTATCATAAAAATAGTTATATTTTTATTAAATAAATAACTTAATTAATTAATTGAAAAATATATCTACACTTACCATAATCAATACTGGCGATGCCAGCAACTGTACAACCGTTTCGGACAGATTAGTAATGGCTACCCCAGTACTATACTGGCTTGAATCCCATTTGTAAACCGTTTGGGTAAATGGCATCAAATAGGCTACGGGTCCTGATTTGACAATCATATAGCATAGATTAGCCAGGAACAGTAGCCAAATTTGCAATCGGACATAGTTAGGCCTTGATTTCGCACATGTATGCCATATATTTTTCAGGTTAGACCATGTAAATAGCAAGCGTACAGGACTATGGCCCGACTCCCGGTGCTTATCATAGTTTTCAAGTTTCCCGGCTACTCGTTGGTCGACTGTCAGGCCGTCCGATTCGTACGGCAGGCCAAACTCCAGTTCCCAGTTACGTATGTCACGGGCCTCGTCAATGGCCCACCAGATCCATAGGATTGATAGGCCATAGACCAGGCCATCGATGATGAATACGGCAGTCGAGTTGTGTAACTGGTGGTCGACACCCGATGATAGCCAGGTCGGGGTGTTTATTATGTAGCCGCCCAGGTATGAGCCAAGTGGACCGGCTAATTATTTTTAAAAAAATTATCATTAATAAATATATAAAAATTTTAAATAGTATATTAAATTATTTTATTTTAAAAGTAATTATTATCTATTTTTTCAAAATTTATAAATACTGTATTAATACTAATTATTGCTATTAATATTAATAATAATTTTATTATAATTATAAATAATAAATAAATTAAAAAAAAACTGTCAAAATTATGTTATTATAAATTTTTAACAAATAAAATATTTTCAAATTATTAATTATTAGCATTTAAAGCCCCTAGTGTTTTTTTAGTTTAATTTTTTAAATTAAAATATATGTATATTATTTTAAAACAAAATTATTACTATTATTATTACTACTACTACTACTACTATTTTTAATAATATGAATATCACTATAATTTATTGGTTTGTTTTAAAAACAATTATAGAAACATTTTAAACTATAAATCTATGAAAACTTAATTAAACACAAAATTAATATTAATATTATTATTACTAAATAATTATTATAATTATAAAACACTTACACAATCCCATAATAACTTCGGCAACTGTTATACGCATAGCCCGCATATGGCCGGGTGTTGTAGTGACCAGATATGTCCAGCAGGCGCCCAATGAGCCCATCAAACCGCCAGATATTAGATTTGGTAAACCGATTAATAGCATCAAATAAATTGCTGATAAAATAATTTTAAAAATTATATTAAAAAACAATAAAATAAACATTATTTTTATTTTTTAAAAAAATCTAATTATATTTTAACTAGCTAATTAAACTATTTTAGTTAAATTAGCTAGTTAAATAATATTATTTAGATTTTTTTTAAAATAATTGAATAATAATAATAAATATTATTAATTTTATTTTTTTAATTATAATTTTTTTTGTAACTAGCTAATTAAACTATTTAAATTTTAATTACAATTAGCTAATTAAAAAAATATTTTTTAAATTAATAAATAAATAATAATAAACATTATTAATTTTATATAATATTTAAAAATATTGTAAATACTTTTTTTTAAAAAAAAACTATCTAATAAAACTATAAAAAATATTTAATTTTTTTACATTTTAAAATAATATTAAAATTTTAAAAAAATACATACATGATTCAGCAAAATAATCGCATAAAATCAATATAATTGATTCAAGGATAATAGCAATTGCCGAATTGATCATGATCAATTTTTTGGCCGATAAATATTTATCTGACCATGATCCAATAAACAGGGCCATTATAAATGATGGCAAATAAATGACCAAGATACCATAGATTTGAAAATTACCAAAATCAGCTAGGATGGCCAATTTTGTCGGATCCGATGGCATTTGAGAAAATTCCCGGCAATAATTTCCAGGCATCTGGTAATGGTATAAACATAATTTATCCTGAGCCAATTGCATAGCAGGTACTGATTTCATATTGTTAATCATTGAGAAAATAAATAGATATGGTTCAACAGTTAGTAGCTTGGTAAATTGATAACTAGATTTTAGCAAGCTAATTAATTTTTTATGATGCTGATTATTTGATAACATGTTTAAAAATTATTATAAATTATTATTATAAATATTTAATTAAAATTAATTTTCATAATTAATATTTTTTTGAATAAAAATATATATTAAGTAGTTTAGTTTTTTTTGCACTTTATAATATTAATTAAATTAAAAACATTTTTTTAATTAATAATAAATTATTGTTAAAAAATTATAAATATTAATTAATTAATTAATAAGTTTATAATTAAAAAAACTAATGTTTTTTTCTAGTTATACATATAATACTTTTATAAACTTTAGTTTTTATATATAATAAATATATTTATTTATTATTATATTACAATACAAACATTGATATATAAATAAATAAAATTTTCTAAATGTTTGTGACATTTATATAGTTTTTATATTTCTATCTAAATTAAAAATTAAATAAAACATTAATGATTCACCTTTTTAATTTATCTGATAAAATACAAAATATATCATTTAAAAAAATTTTATTATTATTATTATTATTTATCTATACAGTTATATCTATTATATTTTTTTAAAGGAGCTTATGTACCTGGCATTATTAATAAAAATGATAAATTTAATTATACTAATTATATATATTGCACAATTATAAGTAATAATAATAATTAAAGTATTAGGTACTTGTTCATTTAAGCATTGTAATCTAGTATTTTTTGTATTTTATCAATGTTGTTTTATATATATATATATATATATATATAATATTAAAAATATATCTATAAAATAATAATAATAAAAATATAGTAAATTTTTTTTCTAGAGATAAAGTACACTAAGTATAAGTTGATAAAAAAATGTTAAGATTAGTTATAATAATAATAACAATAATAATAATTAATAAATTAATTTTTGTAAAAATACAAATATTTTTGAATAGTTTACACATTTATTTGTAATTATTTGTGACTAATATTTATAGTTTATTTAAAGATTATTAATAAATTGTAAAATTCAATTTGTGTGTCTAAATCTAATTATTAAATCACTAAAATTAATAATAATAATTGAAATATAAATTGAAATTTATTTTCCAGTTCATCAAAGTAAGTTAAATTTTTAAAAAAAATTAAAGTAATATATTATTAATTTATAATAATTAATAATTATAAGTGTAGTTAGTTTTTTAATATAAAATAATTATTTTTTTTGTGTAAAAAATAAAATACTAATTAAAAACTTTTTAAAAAAGTTTAATTTTATAACTTAATAGCTTTTTTAGTAATTTCACTATAATTTATTAATTTTTAAAAAACAATTTTAAACAATAAATCTATAAAAATTAAAACACAATTAATTGTACACAAATAAAATACTAATATTAATAATTGATTGTTAAGTAAAAGTTTAATACAATTAATATTTGGTTAAATCTCACAATAAGATACTCAAGGTATTAGTTAATAATAAGTTACTTAAAAAAATAATTATATATTTTTTTAAAAAATACATTAATTGGTTTTACTTTTTTATTTTATTAATATACTTTAAAAATTTTTTTTTTATTGATACAATGTAACTACTTAATTTTTTTATATAATCAAAATTAAAAAACATTTTGTTGTATTTTGAAAAAATAATTTTGGCCATCATTTTTCAATATTGTTGTCAAAAAAAATTATTAGTTTTATAATAGTAAAGTACAGTACAATTCAATAACAACAACAATAATATATTTTTTTGATTAACATTGAAAGGCAAACAAAATAAAAATTATTAAAAAAATTTATACACAATTATTATTCAATAATTCATCATAAATTATAGACATTGTATATAATAAAAATTATAAACGGTAAATGTTTATTTTTCAAAAAAAAAAAATTATACTTGACATTTGTTAAAATTTTAATTAATAAATAATAATAATAATATTTTTTTTACAAAAAATATTTATTAGTTTAAAAACAAATTCAATAACAATATATACAATGTAATAAATTATAATTTTAATATACATAATATGAAATGTTTTTTTTTAAATAAGATTTCAATAATTTTTAATTAGTATTAGTTTTACATTAATATATTATTTTAGAGTTGTTTTGTTGTTAATAAAAAAATCTATCTATTTATTTATTTATTTATTATAATATAGATTTAAATTTAAAAGTAAAAGTAACAACAAAAAACATATGGCAACGCCTTTTAAAATTATTAATAAAAAAATTTAGGATAACATTATACACCATATGATAGACACTTATATAATAATACAATTAAAATTACAATAATTTTTTTGTTTGGGGAAAAAAATGCAGCAAAAAAATGATGTTTTTTGTTGAATATATAAATTAATATTAATATACAGTATATATATATATTTACAAATAACATATAAATCACTCAATATATTCATATAATGTAGTTATTGTTATTAATATTATTGTTTTTTTTAAATGTTATAACAAGTTTTTCAATTTTAGTTTTTTTTTAATTAACTGTTAAACTCTATTACAATATTACAACAAATAAAAAATCAAAAAAAATTATTATAATATAATACAATAATTTTGTATTAATCAGTAATAATAATAATAATAATAATACAAAATCTCGTGACTTTCAATCTCCCTGAGCTGTCTATACATCAGATATACTGTATTTACTGTATGTATGTATGTGTCTGTCCCTGTCCTCCTGTATGGGGTCAACACATGAAGTGATTATTATTATTATTATTATTATTAAATTTTTATTGTTATGCAACACACATACAACAACAACAAACAAAATTTATAGACAAAAAAAATAAAAAGTGATTTTTAAAAAAAAAATATTAATTATTTATTATGTATGTATTGATTTGATTGTTAATCAAATTTATATATGTTTTAACCTCCCAAACAATTTTATATATAAATACCAAAAAAATTTTATCATTTTTAAAAATTCACAGTTACTTTCGCCAGAAAAATAATAATTTATTATTAAAAATAATTTTTTGATTATTTAGTTGTTTAATACTAAAGTTTTTTTGTTGTTGAGAATAATGTTCAAATTTGTTGTAAGTATTAAATTTTTATTACTAAATAAAATAATTTAAAATATAAAACTTATATAACTTGTATAACTATATAATGATAAATATATTTTTCATAATTTCTAATTTTTTAACTATAATATAATCTCTAGTTATATAATAAATTAATTAATTAACTGTAAAATTATTAAAAATAATATATAAACATATATATAATATAATTTATTTTGTTAATCAAATAGATTGAAAAGACAATCACTTTTATTAATAAAAATCTAAATATATTATATAACTTATATGATAAATATTTTTTTAAAAAAAACTTAGTTAAATTAATTAAAAACAATAATTTAATTAAAAATACATATATTAATTATTTTATGTAAACAAATTTATTTTATATTTTAAAAAAGCTGTATAATAAACATTAATTTAAGCTAATTATTTAATAATAAATTAAAAATAATAAAGATTAATATTATAAAATCTTAATAAATTATATATAAACTATTATAAAATATTATAATTAAAATATTTTTTTATGTAAATTATATTAATATAAATTAATATATATAATTATAAAATTATTTTTTTTAATTAAATTTTTTAACTATATATATATATGTATTGTATTGTATATTACAGGCTATCGCTACACTGTTGTTGGCCACTGTATGCCAGGCCAGCCCTGACTTATATGCCGCGGCACCGGCAGCTGTCTATGCGGCCGCGGGTCCGGCCATAGCCGTAGCTCATGCACCGGCCATAACATCCTATAGCTACGAGACCCGTCAAGTACATCCCGGTCCAGCTATTGCTGTTCATACAGCACCGTTAGTACATTCAGCACCTGTACTACACACCACTGGCCGACTACTATCGGCACCGTTAGTATCACATGTTGCTCCCGCTGCCCCCTTGTTGGCGGCCGCACCGGTACATTATGCTGCTTCGGGACCATTGCTTGCACCGTACGGTCTATCGGCACCGTTAGCCAAGACATTGCTTATTAAAAAATAATTTTGTTTGCGATACATATGTACTTAAATAATACTTAATTGAGATTTTAATTTTGTTTGTTTTTTAATAATTAAATCAAAAATATTGTTATATTTTTTTTTTAGAAAAAATTTGTTGCAATGTATTGAAATAGTATTCAAAAAAATTTAGCATTATAAAAAATTAATAAAAAAATATTGTTTTTTTATATTAAATACTGATTTTGTTTATTAATAATTTTTCAATATTTATAATATAGATTGTATAGAAACTAATATAAACTAATAATAATAAAATGTTATTTTTCATGAATATTGAAAATTATCAGTTGTTTGTTTTAAATAAATTTTTAATAATATCTATATAACAATAAGCAACAACAAAAAAATCTTAACAATTTTTAAAGTTTTTTCAATAAAACAACTTTTAAAACTATTTTTCATTGATTAATAGTTCAACTATTTTAATTAGTTAACATTTGTACAGTTTTTTAATTTAATTGCTATTATTTTTGGTCAATACTTATTTGCAAATATCAATTAGCTATCATTTAGTATTGATAGCTACAGGTGCTCAATAGACAACTACAATAATAAAAAAATATATATTAATTAATATCTAGTTTTTATTTAACTATAATTTCTATTACTATAGTCACAAAAAAATAAATTAAATAAACTAACTGTAAAATTAACAAATAATATATAAACAATTAAATTAATTTTGTTATTTAATTTTATTATAATAATACTACTAATATAAAGTAAAATTTTAAAAAATCAAATTTTAATTATTGACGTAAGTCTAAATAAAATTTTTCCTATACAAAAGTTAATTATCTATATAACATATAGTAATAATTATTTTTTAAAAATATATTAATAATTATGTTAACAAATTATTATTTTATTTTTTTTATTTTAATTTATAACAAAAAAAACTGTATAGTATATATTAAGCGTTAAGTTTAATATTTAATGATATTTTATATAAATAAAATTGGTTAGGGTGTGTATAAAATTTATTTTAAAAAATCAAAATTAAAAACTGTTATAAATATAATTAAAATTATAACAATTGTTTTTAAAAAAAATATAAACTAATATAATATCAACTATAATCTGAACAGTTAGTATATAATCAGCAGCACCTGTATAGTAAAAAAAACAGTCCTATCGGCACCGTTAGCCAAAAAAAAACATTGCTTATTAAATAAAAAATGTTTTGTAATTAATTGTAATAATTTGAAAAAAAATAATATTAATTAATGTTTTGTTTATATTAATTGCATTGAAAATATTTAAAAAAAAATTAATTTATTTCTAAAAATTTTACTATACATTGAAATTAAAATAAAAATTATTATTAGTATTTATTTGTCTAAAAATTAAATTTAAAAAGAATAATAACTAAACAATTTTAATAATTTAACAATTTTTTTATTATAATAAAACAAGTAATATGAAATATTTCAATATAATTTACTCATAATAAGTTAATATAAATAAAAAATTAATTAAATAAAAAATTATTATATGATTTCTATTAAAATAATAGTTATATTTTTTGTTATTTAATTACTTCTATTTAATATTATTTTATTTATTTCGCTTTTAATTAAATTTATAATAAATATATATATATATAAATTATTTATTTAAAATACTGTAAATTTTACATAAAGTTTTTTTTGTTTATTGTTTATTGAAAAATTAAATTAATATTTAGTTTAATCCCATATAAAAATAAATTTATTTTAAATATTTTATAAGTTGAATTATTTATATTTTTTTTGCAAAATATCTATTTTAATTAAAATACTATAATATCACTATAATTATTTTATTATATTTTATTTTAAAGGGCTATTTAATAACTATTAAATATTAGATCAATTTAAGAAAATTAAATTAATAATATATATTTTTAGTTAGATTATTGTTATTATCATTATTTTTTCTTATAATTAATAAAATTAATTTATTGATTCTGTATTTATTAAACTAATAAATTATTAGTAAATATTTTTTTTTGTAATTTTTATTATAATCATTATTACTGACAGTTAAAAATATATTTATATAAAAAGATTTATATAAATGTCATAATTTTTTGTGTATTTTCTACTAATAATAAAATAATTAATATTTTAACATTTTACAAAAAAATGAACAATTATTTAATATTTGAATATGAATTCACAATATGTTATTATTATTATTATTATTTTATTTATTTTTTAAATTATATTACTATATAGTTACTAACTTTTTCATAAAATTAAAATATTATGAAAATAATAACTTATTTTTTATAAATCTAAAAGTATGTAAAAAGTATTTATTAAACTAATATATCATTATAAATATTTTTTTTATAATTTTTTAGTATAATCATTGTTGTTGACAGTAAAAAAATATTTATTTATATACAAATTAGCTTATAATGTTTGTAATATTTATAATGTTTTAAAACTTATAATGTTTATTTTATAAATGTAAAAGTTATCTGTAATAATAAATAATTTATTATTATTTTTTACGGAAAAAAAACAATTTTCTAATATATGAAAATAATAATATTAATAATTTAGAAATAAGTTAATAAAAATAAATTAATTAAATAAATTTAATTAGTCATTATTAGGTAAATGTTTTTTTTTAATTATTTATAATAAAAGTATATAAGCTATCGTCAACAACAAAAAATCTAACTATTAATATCTATTGTATTATTATTAATAATAATAATATATAATAACTAAAATATTTTTTCCTAGTATATAATCTATAGATAATCATTGATTTTTTTAGACTTATAAATATGCCGTCGACTACTCAATCAAAAGCATTTTATTTGGACATTGGCTACGATTATAGCGATTCACTAACTAATCAATCACTGAAACATTGGGTGCCTTTAGATGAGGCCTTATGTCTAACTGGTATTACTATGGATAAGGTATACTAAAATTATTATTATTTATTATTAAAAAACTATATTAATTAAAACAATATTATATATAAATAATACTACTAATAATAATTAGGTGGACAACCAGGTGCTTGAACAACATGAGCGAACCGATACACTTAGCAAACTATTGGTAGGTATGGGCGATGATGATGATGGGGATAGGGATGACGATAAGTCAACGATTGAAATCCTAGATAGTAAGACATTCAATCAAATTGATGAACACCAGCACCGGTATCGGGAACAGGCAGTACTGTTGGATGGATCGTGTAATCAATTGGTACGTCTATCGGATGGCCGATTGGTTGGTATTAGACTGGAAAGAGGCGATCGGCTAACCATACCGGCCGGTAGTGTACACTGTCTTAGAGGTGCACCTGAGAAAAAAAGCAGCACACGTGTGCTGATCGGCTCCGGTACTAAAATTTTCAACCAACCAAAATAATAATACCAATTAAAAGTTTTTATAATAATTATGACTAATTGATAACAACAACAAAAAACAACAAATAAATTTTGTATTTTTAAAATTTTATTTTAATTATTAATTATTTTTTTTAAAAATAACTAATAATAAACTTAATATTCAATAATAATATATAAAGTTTAAAATAGATTTGATTAAGTAATAATTAATAAATATTATTGTTTTAGTTTTTTTAAATAATTAATTAATATTATTGTTTTAGTTTTAATTTTTATTTATTTTTTTGAATAAAATAATTAATTAATTAAATATTCTAAACAATTATTTGTCAAATTATTTATACAAATAAAAAAATATTTTATTTGTATATTTACTACGAGTATAGATAGCGACTAATAAATTATTTGTAATTATTTTTTATTATTAAAACCAAAAGTATTGTAATTTATTACTATTGTTTTATTTATTATTTATTAAATAATTATTATAACTAAAAATAAATTAAACATACAGTCGTAATATAGAGTATAAAAGTTAATTTTTTTAATTTTTTTCATAATAATTATTATTTTAATAATAAAATAATATTAATAAACTAATTAATTATAGATAAATAGTTTAAATTAAAAAAAATAAATATGATTATAATATTAATAATAATAATTGTCATCATAAATAAATTTTATAAGAGCATTATATTATATAAATTATAAATAAATATTTATAAAAAATAAATATAATTTAATAATTTTTATTAAATATATTAAAATATAATTTATTACTATAATTATAATAATACAGTGAACTAAAAAAAGTCAAAAATTTCATTATGCTTTTTTAGCATAATCATTATTTTATTTGACAAATAAAAAATTATTTAGTTTTTTTTGTAAATTAATTTTTATAAGTCAATAAACATTTTTTTAATTAGTTGTTAAGACACGTGTGTTTATAGTATATAAACTACAAGTTTTTTTGTTTTTTCAAAAAACTAGTAATTATTTAATTCAATAATATTATTAGTTATAATAAATAAATACCATTTTTTTGTATAAATAAAATATTTTTAAATTACATTTTTATTATTATTATGTATTCAACTGATTCAACAAAAAAAGCATTTTATTTGGACATTGGCTACGATTATAGCGATTCACTAACTAATCAATCACTGAAACATTGGATGCCTTTAGATGAGGCCTTACGTCTAACTGGTATTACTATGGATAAGGTATACTAAAATTATTATTATTATTATTATTATTATAATAAATATTTAAAAAATTAAAACATTACTATATATATAATACTACTATTAATAATTAGGTGGACAACCAGGTGCTTGAACAACATGAGCGCACCGATACACTTAGCAAACTATTGGTAGGTATGGGCGATGATGATGATGATGATGATGATGGGGATAGGGATGACGATAAGTCAACAATTGAAATCCTAGATAGTAAGACATTCAATCAAATTGGTGAACACCAGCACCGGTATCGGGAACAGGCAGTACTGTTGGACGGATCGTGTAATCAATTGGTACGTCTATCGGATGGCCGATTGGTTGGTATTAGACTGGAAAGAGGCGATCGGCTAACCATACCGGCCGGTAGTGTACACTGTCTTAGAGGTATACTTGAGAAAAACAGCAGCACCCGTGTGCTGGTCGGCTCCGGTACTAAATTTGCACCCAACAAAACTACTACTACTACTAATAATTAGTTAAAATTTTAACTAATAAAAAAATATACTATTAATAATAATTATTGTTATAATTAAATAATTATTGCTAACAAAAATTTATAGTTTTTTTAATTAGTTATTTGTATTTGAATTATTAAAACAATTAATAATAAAATTTAATACTAATAGCATACTGTATATATATAATTGATTACAATATCTACTATAGACATAATAATTAGTAGCATTATTATTGTATTTATAGTTTTAATTTATTATTAAAAAAATAATTAATTACTATAAGTTTACTTTTATTTTTATATGTTAGTGTTTAACTAATTTGTTTTTTTATCTATTTTATGACAAAAAATGTATAAAAATTTAGACAATGACAATTTAGTTATTTTATTTTTAATTAAAATCTAATTAAATAAGAAATTAGTTATAAATATTTATAAATTTCAAAATTATAACATTTTTTACAGCTTTAGTATTGTATTATTATTTACTGTAATTATATTTATAAAAATATATGATATTTATAAAAATATATGATATTTATAAAAATATATGATATTTATAAAAATATATGATATTTATAAAAATATATGATATTTATAAAAATATATGATATTTATAAAAATATATGATATTTATAAAAATATATGATATTTATAAAAATATATGATATTTATAAAAATATATGATATTTATAAAAATATATAATATTTATACAAAAATACTTATTTAACTAATAATATTAATTAAAAAAAACTTTTTATAGATATTGTATTAAAATAACTAAAATTTAACAATCTATAAAAATGTTACTGTAACTAAATTATAACTAAATTATATTGATTTAACTTGATGATTTTATTTTGTACTAAAAATATTTTATTAAAAATATTAAAATTAAGTTAAGTTAATAAATTAATTAATAAACAACAACAACATTGTATGTTTAGACTGTATCCAAAAAATAGCATTAAAACTTTATTTTATTAATAATTTCATTTTAAACCGATTTTAAATAATAATAATAATAATTATAATAATATCATAATAAAAACAAATAAAATAAAATACGGAAACAATAGATAGAGATTAAAGAGAGTGAGAGATAATAATTTTTTTTTATTTATTAATTAATTCAAAAAAAACATAACCAACATATGCTTCTCATATATATCATTATACATGTCGTTCCCCTTTATATACTAATATAACTAACTGTAAAAACCTAACCAATCAATCAATCAATTTAATGCAAATCATATGATTTGTGTGTCTGGACGTGAATAGTCTTTTCGATGACCGGACGCTCAACTTTGGCAATATAGGGCTTCTTGACTATCTGTTCAATCTTAACGGGATAGGGACGATCAACTTTGACTGTATAGGGCTTATCCACTGGGACCGGGTAGGGTTTGGCTACCGGGACCGGTACCGGTACCAATTTGATTTGTTGCTGTGGCATCGGTGCATAGTTACCGTGTCTCAGATCACTACTGTCACCGTAGTTGTCGTTATCGTTGCCGCCATAACTGCCGAGTAGTTCAAGACCACTGCCGCTGCCATAGTTGTTGGCATAGCCTTTGTTGTCGTTGAGGATCAGTATCTGTTTGCCATAACCGCCATAACTGCCCTCATCGCCACCTTTCCACGATAGGCCACCCAAATCCAGGCTACGACCCAGATCATAGCCACCGTGGTCGCCCAGGGTTAGGGTGGGCAGGCCATAGGCCATACCGAAAAGTGCCAGTGCCTTCACATATATAAGTAAACAAAAATTAAATAACTAAATTAATAAAATCAATATTTATTTAAAAATATTAATAATTTTTTTATTACATATTAGCCATAATTTCAAATTATATATATATATATTTAAAAAATTAAATAATATTTTATTATAACTATTACTAACTAGTTCTAACATTTAAAAAAATATTTATTACACTTATACTAATACATATAATAATAATAATAATAATTTTACAGATTTTAATATTTACTTTATATCAATATATTTAAAATTAATTTCTAATTAATTACAATTTATTACAACAAGTATTATATTTAAAACTACTATTACTTACAATTATTATGGATTTCATTATCACTCGGTTTGCTATACAATAAAATACTGATTGTTAGACAACTATTTAAAATGTGTGTTTGAAAGACATATTTATACTATTTATATGAAAGTTAAGTTTAATTTAAAAAAAAACAAAATAAAAATTTAAATTTCTTATTTTTTATCATAATTGGAAAACAAAACAAATAAAATAATTCATGTTTTTACTAAATGATAAAAAAACAAAAAAGTTTTTTTTTGTTGTTATTGTTGAAAGTGTTTAATAATTATAATTTCACTATTTTTATGCATATATTTTATAATAATAATACCTAAATATAATGATATTATAGTGATTATACTGTACTTTATATAAAAAGTAATATATTATTTATTTACTAAATATATATAACTGTAAAAAAATTATCAATAAAAATTTTTAGCTAATTAATCTAATTTTTGCATATATTTATTAGAAAATATTGTAGTGAAAATATTTAAAAAAAAATATTTACATTTATTTTTCGTCTAAAACTTTATGGTATTGTAAAAACAAAAATATTTTATTAAAATAATTTTTTTTTAAAACAAAAATAAATTAAATATATAATTTTTTTTAAATAATTATTTAATAATAATTGCCCCATTATTATTAATCTTATTTGAATATTATTATACATTTTTATTATAAAGACGCCAAAAAAAGTGAATACTCCCATAACGACTGTCCTCCCGGTGCCCAACGGCAAGGTTATGTGGGAAAAGCTGTTAGTTATTAAATTAATTAATATTATAGTTTTTTAACAAAAAAAAATAATATTATTAAATTTTGAAACTAAAAAAAAGTACTTATGATTATTTTTTTTCAAATAAAAATTTCCTAATTAATAATTTTGTTTATATCAAAAAAAATAATTATTAATACTATTAATAAGTTTATATTATATTTTATTTAAATATTTTTTTTATATATGTCCAGTACTATGACATAGTTGGCAATTATAACTCATAAAATTATTATTATTATTACTAATAATTAATTTTTACATGAAATTTAAATATATAATTTAAATATTATTTTTAAAAATCATAAATTTATTTAATCTATCAATATTATTTTCTAATTAAATATATATATATATATAATTTTAATCAATTAATTAAAAAAATTAGTTGCAAAACATTGTATTACTATATAAAATATTAGTTCATTGCTAAACATTTTATGTCAATATAAATAATTATTTAAGTTTTTATTTTTATATTATAGATTGTTTACTTAAAATTAATTAAAATAAATTTTTACAAATATTGCACAAATATTTTTTATTTAATATGTATATACAATACATTCATCGATAATATCAATTATAAAACATTTAGTACTAACTCGTGTGGCTTTACATATAAAAAAACTATAAAATTGAGGTCATTATTGAAGCAATTTTTTAAAAATAAATAAATAAATATTATATATAAGTAATACTTCCTTATAATCTCACTTTAAAAAAACATATGATACACACACACACACCTATTAATCATATTAATATAATTATTAATAATAATAATATTTAAAAATAATAATAATAAAAATTAAAATTTATAGTTAGATATTTGAATTTTTTGTTTTTGAAGGTCACATTAGATTCAAAAAAAAAAAAAATTGTCGCAAAAATTATTCATTGCATAAAATATGAAAATTATTGCATTATTAGTATAGAATAAGTTTTAAAATAATAATAATAATTATTATTATTAATAATTTTATATTATATTAATAATTGTAGTAAAATATTTATGATATATTTAGATAAGTATAATAGTATTTTAATTAAGGACATATAGTTTTTAATTATCTATTGTTTTCACTATTAGTTTACATTATTATTAAATATATTAAAAATATTTTATGCAAAATGTTTTTTTTTTAATTATTATAAAAGATTATATGATATTATTATCGCATAATAATCTAATGTTAATATTAAATACAATTTATTTTTTTTAATAATATATATATTTCAATATCATCATCAATGTTATCAATCAGTTTTAATATTGATTAAACTTTTTATATGAAAAAAATTTATATACTATTATATTACTGATATAATCATTCAAGTGTGTAATAATCACGATTATAATTATAATAATAAATAGCTATTTAAAAGATAAAATACAAATAATTAAATACATAAAATAATATTTAGTTTAATTTTTTTTAATATCCAATTAGCTATCAATTCCTTGACCAATATATATATTATATTACTTTAAAAATCTAACAAAAAAAATAAATTAACTAAACTTTAATTAAAATTTATAGTTAGTATTAACCAAATAAAAAATCTAATAATATTTAAATGGATTTTTTTTGTGGTAAAATAAGTAAAATAATTTTCTAACAAAAAATAAATTAATAATTTAGTAGAAGAAAAAAAATCATTTTCAAAATCAGATATTTTTACACTTCAAAAATTAATTATAACTTAATATGTATATAATTTTTTTATGTGTGTGTGTGTGTGTATGTATGTGTATGTATGTATGTATGTATATGTGTGTGTGTGTGTGTGTGTGTGTGTGTCTGTGTGTGATAACACTTAATGTATGCATATTGTATGTCTTATTTTAAGTATAATTAGTAAAAAAGTTTGTAAAATATTTTTTTTAATAATTAAAAAAATAATAAGACAACGCCCAGTGAGTGAGTGAGTGAGAGAGAGAGAGAGAGAGAGAGAGAGAGAGAGAGAGAGAGATTACTGTCAAATTAAATTTTTAATTAAAATGGGATAACCACGATAGTTATATACAAATTTAACAATATAATATACATATATAATAAATTGCAAATTTAAAAAAATATCCAAATTGCTAGCTCATCTAAATATTTAAATTAAAAAAAATAAATATTTTATTACAAATATATATATATTTTTATGATTCAAAATTACAGTTTATTTATATTATATAAATTTTTTTTGCATACTTGGACTCTCTCTCTCTCTCTCTCTCTCTCTCTCTCTCTCTCTCTCTCTCTCTCTCATTATTAGCACAGGTATGTAATTGGCTGAGACATTATGTACTGTATATACAGTATATATACTAGTATATATATATATATACTCTAACATTGAAAATACAGATAGCTTTAACTTATATTGTAATTAATCTATAATTTGCATAACAATATCTAGTTTTACGTTTAACAATAAAAATAATAATATTAAAATTATACCTTATATTACACAGTATTATTATTTTTACATTTTAGTTTTTTTTGAAAAATTTTGTTGGATAATGCAAAGTAAAAAGTGATTAAAATATTTTTTAGTTTTTTTTAATTTTTATATTCATTATTAGTTTTTTGATTTATTTATTTTTTTATTGATTATAGTTTTGATTTACGTATGAATTATTACATTTAGATTTTTTGAAGTTTATATATATATAGCTATTATTGCAACACAAATATAGAGAGAAAACAAATAAAACAAATAAATAAAAACAAAAATAATATAAGAAAAAAAATTTACATTTAATATCCAATAATTCTTCAAAACCATTTAAAATTGGAAATACATAGATAAGTATATAAGGAACGGTAGTTTAGTTAAAATAGTTTGTATGTTAATCAGGGATTAAACCTAATAATCACAAACACACTCACATATTATACAAACATGAGATCAATTTTGGTAAGTCCTAACTAATTATAAAATTAATAATATTTTATATAATTTATTTATATAAAAAATATGTCTAGTATAAAGTAAATAGATTTAGCTAGCTAATAATAATATTTTTTTAAAAATATTATTAGAATTATAAATATATATATTAGTCTATGATAGTAATAAGTTTATGATAGACCCCATCAAAAAAATATTATAAAAATTTTTATAGCTTATATAAATAACTAAAAAATTTTTTTACAATTTTTAAACAACTATAATAACTATTGTTTTATTTAAATTATTATTTTATACTAATTTTATTATTATTATTATTATTATTATCATCTAGGCTATTTTTGCTATCGCCACAGTGGCCAGCGCCTTCCCCAGCAGCCACGGACCCATTGCCATAACAACCCTACTGGGCCATACCCAACAATCGAGTTATCGACTGAAAACCGACCATCCCGTCCAGGAGCCGGCACCCATCATCAAAGGCGTTGCCCAACCCTATGCCGTACCCGTTCCCCAGCCCTATGCCGTCCCACGGGCCGTAACCGTCGAAGTACCACGTGCCGTACCCTACACAGTTACCCGTACCGTTGGTGTACCGGTCATCGCCCGAGGCGAACCCATTGTCCGCACCCGTATTGTCCAATCGGAAAGTTTGGATAGCGGTCTCGGTAATGGCGGTCTATTGTTGTCCGGTAATAACGGTGGTTATGGCGGCGATAATGGTCTCAGTTTGGGTCTATCGCACGGTTTGGGTGGTCTCGAACTCGGTGGTCACGGATATTAAACAGCAACAACAGCTAACCCCCCCCCTCACACCCCCACCCCATAGATATTAATTGTATAGGTTTGAATAGCTATACTATCCCACTATCTAGTAATTGTTGTTAATTAATTAAATGATATTATTTTGTTAAATAATAATAAATTAATATTTTATATATATATATATATATAAATTGATTGATTGATTGATTGATTGATTGATTGTTAAAAATTTTGTTTGTATTTATAATGGGATGATATATATTAGATACTGGCAGGAAAAGCTTACTAGCTTAATTTTTAAATTAAAATTTTACGTTATTATTTGCAAATTAGTAATAGTTTATATGTACATGATGATATTTTTTATAAGTTTTTATTATGTTTAATAAACTACGTCATCAATTTATTTAAAAATTAAGCTAGTAAGCTTTTCCTGCCAGTATCTAATATATATATATATATATACACTAAAATGTTTGCTAAAATATTTTTATGTATCGATTGATTATATAATAATTGAACATTTTAAAAACAAAAATTAATTTTTTTTAAATAAATAAATTAAATTATTATAAATTATCAAGTTAACTAGATGTTTTATATTTTATTTAATGCATTTTTTAGTAATATTTATTTTATTTATAAATATACAATAGCTGCTAAAAAAAAGTTGTTTTACTTAATATTATTAGTTAAATAGTTATTTATTTTTAAAAAATAATAAATATTTTACACCATTATATTAGTAAATATAATACAATATTAAAACTGTAAAAAATTTATAATTTTCAAAAAAATATTTAATTCTACAGTTAATTTAAATATTTTAGTTAAACATATCCTAAGAAATTAAAAATTAAAAAATAATTTATTTTGCAATTAAAAAAGTTATGGTTAATTGAAAACAAATATAATATATTTAATATATATAATATAATTTACTGTAAAAAAATTAATATTGATATACTGTATATTCAATATAATATCATTACATTTAAGTATTATTATTATTATAATTAAATATATGCATAAAAATAGTGAAATTATAATTAAAGACTTTCTAGAAATAAAAAACTTTATTTTTGTTTTTTTATCATTTAGTAAAACATGAATTATTTTATTTGTTTTGTTTTCCAATTATGATAGAAAATAAAGAAATTTAAATTTTTGTTTTATTTTTGTTGTTGAAATTAAACTTAACTTTCATATAAATAGCCAGTAATAGTATAAATATGTCTTTCAAACATACATTTTAAATGGTTGTCTAACAATCAGTTAATATAGATAGCAAACCGAGTGATAATGAAATCCATAATAATTGTAAGTAATAATAGTTTTGTATATATAATACTTGTTTTAATAAATTGTAATTAATTAGAAATTGTTTTATATATATATTAAAATCCGCAAAAATAATTATTATTATGTGTATAAAGTAGAAGTATTAGTATAAGTGTAATAAATAATTTTTTTAAAAATGTTAGAACTATATGAAAAAAATTATTATAGTTTTAAAAATAGTTAGAAAAAATATTATTTAGTTTTTTGAAATATATAATTAGAAATTAATTAGATATTAATATTTATTTGAAATAAATTTTATTTGCAGTAATTTTATTAGCAATATTGTAAAAATTATTTATTATTTATTAATTTAGTTATTTAATTTTTGTTTACTTATATATGTGAAGGCACTGGCACTTTTCGGTATTGCCTATGGCCTGCCCACTCTAACCCTGGGTGACCACGGTGGCTATGATCTGGGTCGTAGCTTGGATTTGGGTGGTCTATCGTGGAAAGGTGGCGATGAGGGCAGTTATGGCGGTTATGGCAAACAGATACTGATCCTCAACGACAACAAAGGCTATGCCAACAACTACGGCAGCAGTGGTCTTGAACTACTCGGCAGTTATGGCGGCAACGATAACGACAACTACGGTGACAGTAGTGATCTGAGACACGGTAACTATGCACCCATGCCTCAGCAACAAATCAAATTGGTACCGGTACCAGTCCCAGTTGCCAAACCCTATCCGGTCCCAGTGGATAAGCCCTATACAGTCAAAGTTGATCGTCCCTATCCCGTTAAGATTGAACAGATAGTCAAGAAGCCCTATATTGCCAAAGTTGAGCGTCCGGTCATCGAAAAGACTATTCACGTCCAGACACACAAATCATATGATTTGCATTAAATTGATTGATTGATTGGTTAGTTTTAAGTTAGTATTATTAGTATATAAAGGGGAACGGCATGTATAATGATATGATATGAGAAGCATAATGTTGGTTATGTTTATTTTTGAATTAATTAATTAATAAAAAAATTATTAATAATAATAATAATTATCTCTCTTTTAAATCTCTCTATTGTTTCCGTATTTTATTTGTTTTTATTTTTATTATGATATTATTATAATTTTAAATATTATTATTTAAAATAAAATTATTAATAAAATAAAGTTTTAATGCTATTTTTTAATACAGTCTAAACATACAATGTTGTTGTTGTTTATTAATTGATTAAAATTAATTTTTATTTTAAAAAAAATATTGATAACCTATTCAAAAAAAGTGATTTAGTAGTTCAGTGTTAAAATTTTTTAGTTAGTTTAAAAAAAATTAAATTTTATTAAAATCTTAGTTTATAATAAAATAATAATATTTAATAATATTTTACTTTTATATACAAAAAATATATATTATTTAAACGTTAATAATATGAAGTTAAAAATACTGTAAATATAAAATTATTATAGAAATACTTATTATAAAATGTTATTTAGTTTTTTTATAATATGAAATATTTTGTGGAATGTTTAAAATTTGTAAAATAACTTTTAAGTTATTTTAGTAAATAATTTTTACATAATAATTAAATAATAAAAGTTTTATAATAAGAATAATAAATATGTAAAATTAAATAAATTTTTAATTTAGCTATTTATTTAAAGTAATTTAAAAAAAATATTTTTAATAAATTTAATAGTTTTATTGATTTTAAAACTGTAAATATTATTTAAAATATTATAACACATTTAAATAGATTTTTAATAAATAGAAATTTTTTTTAATAATTAAAATGTTTCTAGTGTATTAATTATTTAGAAATTAAACATATTTTGTTTTATTGTATTTTACAAAATAATAGTGATCTACTTAATTATATAAATAATAAAAATTAAATAAATAAAATATATAATATTAGATCTTTAAAATTATTAAAATAATGAAATAATATTACATTAATAGACAAAAAAAAATAAATAAATAAAAATTTAGTGTTTACTTATTATGTACTCAATTTTGTTTAATTAATTAACCTAATAAATTTTTTTAGTATACAATAAACTAATTAATTAAAGTTTTATAATTAAAATTATATTAATAAAAACTGTAACTTTATTAAATTAAATTTATATAAATTTATTAGTATTAATCTTATTTATATTTTGAAAAATATCGGATAGATTTTTTAATACATATTTTTATGTTTAATTAGAAATAAAAATTATTAAATTAATTCATTAGAAAATAAATGAATTAATAAATAGATTTTTTTAAAAAATTATTTTATAATTGAAATAAATAATTTTGATTTGATTTTATTTTACAGTAATTTAAATCATCAATATTATAAAATTATTTATTGATTTATTTATTTATATTTTACTTATATAAAACTGGCACTGGTATTTTTCGGTACGGCCTATAGCCTGCCTATAGTGTGCAACAATTAATGAAATTATATAAAAAATGTCTTAATTAGACATATATCTGTTTTATTTGATACTTTATATTATATAATTATTTTTTTAATAAATATAAAAAAAATTTAATTAATTTTTTTTAAAAAAATCTTCAATAACTGTAAAAACTATAATAATTAATATAGATATTATAATGTAATATTATTTGATAAATAACAGAGACAAATATAAATTTAAGTTTTTTTTAATAATTTATTAGATTATTCCAGCACCTAATATTGCAGTATTATTAATTGTGAATAAAAAAATATTAATAATATTTTTATTGTTAAAGCTGTAAAAAATAAGTAAATTTCAAAACATATAAAAAAATACTATTAAATGTTTTTAATGTAGATGGATCTCAGATGAAATTTTTTAAAAAAAACTAATTAATAATATTTAAAAAATAAAAATTATTTAACTTTTAATTTTTTTATAAAAAAACAAAGTAATCAATAAGTAATTACAAAAAGTTAGTTAATATACAATAAAAATATAATTATAATTATTTTTTTTAATTAATATAACAAAATGTTTTGCAAATATTTGAAATAATTTCATTTTTGTTTCAGATTTTATTCTATAAAAATTGAACAAAATTTTTAAAAATTTTATTATTATTTTTTTTTTAAAAATCAAAATGTAATATAATTTTAATAAAAATTATCAACAGATAAAAACTGTAACTTTATTAAATTAATATTATCTAAGTTTATAGTATTAATCTTATTTGTAATAAAAGAAAATTAGGAGTTTTATATTAATAATTATTTTTTGTTTGTTTGATTGATTGGAAAAACAATTTTTTTTAATTAAATTAATAGATTAGAAAATAATTAGTTAATAGATTTTTATAATAGATCTGTAATAGAACTACAGAGGAGAAAATTATATTTTTAAAAATATTATTTTATTATTATTATTATGTATCTATAATAATTTATAAAATATTTTTTTCATACTAATACAACACAAAAAATTACTTAAAAAATTTATTTAAAATACTTCATATAATATTTAATTTTTTTTAATAATCTTTTATTTTGATATTATATTTAAAAAAGTTCAATTCTATTAAATCTAACTATTTATAAATTGATATATGTTTTAAATGTTTTAAAATTTATTTTAAATAATATTTAATAACAGCATATGAAAATATTATTATTTGTTAAAAAACTGTAAAAATATAGTATATTTCAAAATTAAAACATAATACTATTGAATGTGTTAAATATAGAAGAAGAATTACTAATGATATTTTACAGAAATTTTTTTTAAAACTGTAATTAATTAACATTATTAATAATATATAAACTTACTTATGTATA